GGAGGGCTAAATACTTTGAGCAGAAGGAGCAACAACAGTGATCTCCAGGAGAATCAGCCCAAGACGTGGGGCGAGGAGCTAGATGTGAGCTGCACACATCCGTCGGGGCTGATGCCATGGCTGAGGCTTAGGTTCTTGCAAAATTCTCTGTCCAATCTTTTTGGGTTTCCTACTGTAGCAATTACACTGTCTCTAACCATGGCTAGGCCTGGAGATCTAGTTAGGCATCTGGAAGCCTTAGGTCTGGCCTTGACCTCTGAAGTCCCAGGGTTGTTAGGCCAAACATTAAAATTATCCCTGGTCCAATACTGCAGTATTCATCCACAGATGCCATATTTAAAATCCATGCCTTCCTCTTCCCCAAGTCAGTTCTCCTCATCCCAGCCAAGTGGAAAAGACGGTAACTTCTGTCCCTTGGATCATCCAGACCTGGGGTTCCCTACGGATCAGTCCTAGGGCTGACTGTTGGGCCAGAATGTGGCAGCTCTATTCCAGCAGGTATGGAAGTTCTAGAACCCCAGGGTTGGGGCTTGCATGTGAAGCGCCAGTGATCACAGCACCAGATTCCTTGTCTACTGAGAACTCCAGCTTACTCTTTGCAGGTACTGTGAGGGAAACAGTTTTGAAGGGAGCCAGTAGAGGCTGAAGATGCAAGAGCCTGGACTGAGCCGGCTCCCTGAGAATGTGAGAAGAAACGGGATCCAGAGCACAGGCAGTGGGATTAGCACTGAAAAGGTCCAAGGCTGCAGAGAGTGGATTTTTACACCCTGGTGAAAATTTTTACCAAGTTTCCCAAAAGAGTGGACAGGCTAAGTTTTTACATGGAATTTGTACTGCTCTGCAAGTTGGCTCTTGAGGCCCTGGGCCTCCTTCTGGATGGGTCCGCCTGGTGCTGTTTAACCACCAGTCCTCCCCCCCGACCCCACAAAGGAAATGAAGAATGGATGCTTAAGTACATGTCTTAGACTCGTTAGCAGAATCTCAGTTGGGAGTGCTGGTCTGGTGGCTTCTATTTTTTTCATTTTGTTTTTCACAGAAGCAGATGAGGTCATTTAATCGTGCTGGCAGTGGTGGGCTCTGAGTTGTAAGGAGAATGGGGACGGCTGGATATTTTTATTAAGGAGAACGGGAGAATATTAGGAATTGCTTTGTGGTGGAAGGTTGAGCAAGCGCACGAAGGGAACACAGAAGGATGGAGTCTGGTTAAGGTCAGTGCCAGGCCTTCATGGCTGTTGGCGCCTGCCCGACTGAGCACTTCACTACAGCAGTGCTCAGCACCCATGTGCAAGCATGGAGCGTCAGCCCCAGGGCTGAATTATTTTCTGACCAGGTAGGTGAGATGCAACAATGAGCAAGTTATTTAAGGCAGCAAAAATATCCCGTCTGTAGCTGTGGATGATGAAATCTAAGCTGGATGTGGAAGGGAGTGAAGACAGAGACGGACGGGAGTTACAGCAGAGGGTCCTAGGACCAACACAGTGATCTTCCAACTTCAGTGCGTGTAAGACTCACGCGGGAGGAGCCAGCTCCTGAAGTTAGTATTCAGTAGATCTGGGGTGAGGAAACCCAATTCTGTTTTCAACAAAGACCCTAGTTGATGCTGACATAAGAGGGCCATGAGAAATAGTGGATTTGAAATTATAGTGAGTTTAAAGAAGTGATATTTTGAGAGTAACAGAGAGGGAAGTAGTGGGGGTGGTATTTACTTACTTACTTAGTAGGAATAGATGTTTATAGTGTGAAATGACTAATTTATTATCTCAAAGTTGGAACAGCCTGGAGGGGTGGAAGGTTCGGGGTATGCCTGAGGGAGTGGGCAGCTAAGGTGGAGCACGGAGTGCAGGTGACCATCACCAGAGGTGAGGAGGTCAAAGCACCTAAGGCCTAAGTAATCTATGTGCCCCTTGAAGCCACCCCAGATGATGGTGGTGCCTGCGACAGACAGGCAAAACTCTGAGCAGAGTTCAAAGCCACTAGTAAATGCAGGGACGGGAACTACAGGCAGGGAGACAAAGCAAAGACACAGAGCTGGGGTGTGGGGTGTAACTGGTTGAGTTTTTATACAGTGACAGAGAAGTGAAACTGGCTAACAGTGGAGTGCTTATTGTTTGCCAGCCTTTACGTACATTAGTCCATTACATCCTCATAAACAGTTAACTCACAAGCTTCATATGAAGTGCCACTTTTATTCACCTTTTGAGGAAACTGAAGCACAGAGAAGTTAAGCCCCAACCAGCATCTCTCAGTTCTTATCCACTACATTACACTTATCCATTACACTCACTCATAAAGTGAAAGGTGCTTTTATATATCTCAACTGAAAAAAAAATCAGATCTGAATATTGTTAGGAGTGGGGTTAACTTCTTTGGAAAAACAATGGAAATGTTTCTTTAAATTTCATTTGTGCTGAGTTTTACGGTGCGATAACCAGCAAGGGGCCGCACCGAGGGACTCCATACTAGGTCATCTGACAGAAACAACGCAGTCTGCACGTATCAAGACGCCTGTCTTTTCCATGCCTTGATGATTGCTTCAGCAGCATCCAGTGTACTATCTTTCTGTAAATTAATGAAATAATCATCATTACATGTCAAAATAAATTCAAGATGAAGTAAAGATTTAAACACCACAACCTCAGCTGGAGCACAGAGACCGGGAAGTGGCGTTCACAATCCCTTACCTTAGTGGCCAAATACACAGATCTCAAGCTATTCAAGGTACACAGAAGCAAATCAGACAAACAATTATTTATAATGCTGTATCCCACTGCTGTCTGGTTGGGAAAGGGAATGAATCTCACAAGGAATTCACCATTAGGAGAGCTAGAGAAGTGTCACAGCAATCACTACATCATACTGTTTTGTGACGCCGGCTGCCAGGGCAGGGCACTTTATTATTACTACTATCCTGACACCAAAGGAATCTACAAATTAACCAGCATAGGGTCAAAGAGCATCACCAAGAAAATGACTGACAAATTGTATATACAGCTCAGACTGAATACAGTTTAACATGATCCCATCTAAAACCATGCCCATCCAGTGTGTGGAAGCTCTCATCACTCATAACCACCTGGGGCAGCCCCAGTGGCCTGCAGTGCCAAAGACCCAGACTCAGGAAAGACACTGCTGCAGGTGGACAGTCTGGAGGATGTGCCGATGGAATCCATATTTATTATTTCATCCATTTGGGTGGGAAGTGTGCAAAATCACAGACCTCATTCAAAAAGGCTTCTAGACAACAAAAGAATACTCCTCCCTTAGCTCCCAACACATACAGAGGATGTCAGGCTGACCAAGAACAAAAGAATGAATTAGTACACAATTATAAAAAAAGGACAAAGAGTACAGAAGAGTTTACACTGAAAAATAACTGCTTCTTCCCTCCCCATCTCTTCCTGCTACTCCCACCATCCCCCAAGACAACCCTTTATGGCAATTTCTGGTTTTAATTCTAACTTATGTACATTTCTAATTTTTTATTTTTCAACTTCAGTGTCCACCATTCTCTGCTTTCAACGAGGAAAAATTTGTTCATTCATAAAAGTGCCCCATCCTACTGAAGTCTCTTAGTTATAAGCTCCTAACCCCTACACTGTTTGAGGGTAACTGTATTGATAACGTTCATTTTTTTTGAATAGGTAATACCTGCATATGGTATAAAATTAAATTGATGGATAACTTCTTCTGCTTTCTCTACTTCTCCTTTTCCTTTCGCTCCCCTCTCTACAGAATTGTTTAGTTCAAAAGCCATTAGGTGGGGCTGAGTGAGATAGGTGTCCATGGATGGGGGCAGGAGGAGCCCTGGCAGCCTGGTGCAGGATGCTGCAGCCAGCGTGGAGTGGGGGGACTTCCCAATGTGAGTGATGTGAAGTGGCGGTGGCAGCACTGGTGGCCCTGACCAGGAACAGCGTCAGGGTCTTAGGAAGGTAAGCGAGGCATCTGTGTGGCGGGGTGGGGTTCCAGGCAGCGTGGAGCCTGGATGGGATGAGGCAGGTATCTGCCGGCACAGATCGGCATGGCACGTTGGAGCCCGTAAGGGAAGAAGAGGGCTTCTGTGCAGTCGGCGATTGTGGTAGCCTTGCATGTGGTGCTGGAGACTTAGAGAGGAGGGTGTCTCTGCAGGAGAGTGACAGCAGCAGGTCGGCACAGGGTGCTGAAGCCCAGGGGAGGTGAGGCTGGTGACCATGAGGGGCAGTGGCAGCAGCCTGGTGCAAAGTGTCCGAGTCTGAGTCAGGTAAAGGGTGCCTGTCAGGGGTGGTGGGTGGAGGGGCAGCGGCACTGACAGGAGACTGGTCACACACAGAGGGACTGATTAAAAGGAGTGGCTACATGAGGAGAGTCAGGTTTTTTTTTTTCTACTGTCAGAGAAGGGAGTGACAAACATGGAAAGGGTGAAAGCTGGAAAAAACTCTGGTGATTTCAACGTGTTTAGATAGACATAGAAACAAACAGAATAGACATAGAATGTGTGTGTGTGTATATATATGCCTCCCTTTTCCTTTTTATACAAATGACAGTGTTCCTCGCAAACCAGTCTGCCCCTTGCTTTTAGCTCCTGCTCTATCACTACATGGAGCTGCTTCACTCTTCTATGAATGTGAATGTCCCACAATTTATTCAAGCAGCCTTCATTGGTGAGTATTTTGGTTGTTTATAATCCTTTGATATTACAAACAACGCTTCACTGAAAATCCTTGAACACAAGACATTAAATGTGCAAGTGAATCCACAGGAAAAAAATCCTAGAAGCAGAATTTCTGGGTCAAAAGATATGGCCATTTCCATCTGGATGAACAATTTCAAACTAACCACTGCAGAAACGTTACAAATTCCACTGCTGTTTTCAAATCAATGTATGAGACGGTCTTACAAAACTTTTCAGTTGTTTTGGTTGTTTCCACCTAACAGATAAGATAAAACTTCTCTGCAGTGTGTTTGTCATTTCTCTTATTATGAGTGAAGTGGAATATCCTTTTATGTCTTTGACAGCTACTAAGGATTTTACCCATAGCCACTGTAAAGTGCTGCTTTTTGGTTTATTTTGCCCTAAATTCAACCTGCTTTCTTCCAATTTCCATTTTCTTGGCGTGTTTTGCCATCTTTTTATCTTTAGCCTTTCCAAGAGGTTGGGTTGGGTGTGTCAACTTTCCCTAGGGACTTCCTGGTGTTGCTTGTTATTTTCCAATACGGACTGCTGCCAAAAAGGACGTGAATCCACCCTGATCCTCTTCTCCCGCCTCCATGGAGGCCTTGATCATTTTGTTTAGATGCCAAAGAATCATTTCTTTAAAATCCAGTAAATTAAACAAGGCATATCAGTGTTATTCTGTGACAGTTTTTCCTGAGACGAGGCATTCACTTCCAATTTTTAGATTTATCTTTTGTTTTAAATGGAAAGTGTTCTCAAAATAAAAGCTGTAACAGTCTTTCCCCAGTCCTGTTTGTTCTGCTCCTCACTTCCCTCAGGGACGCTCGGTGCTCCATCTGTCTTACACGGCTGCCATTTTTCTCTCCAACATTTTAAAACTCTTTGTTCCTTTCCACTTGCTTTTGCTTACCTTTCTCAATCCTCAGTGCGCTTACAGGAGTATTCAGTGTTCTCTGTCCTGAATCCAATGTCATCACAGTTACCAACAGCTTAATTTTTCCCTTGAATTTCTCACCTGAGCTCTGACAGCTGCCATTTCATCTTCCTATGTTATTTTACTCTATCTTCCCTGAACTTTAAAAAATCTCCACTGTAATCTTGTTTTAAAAGTTTTGAATTTGAAATATCACACATTTTATTTGCTCTATGGCAAAATTTTTTGTTGTTGTTGAATATTGTCTGACATTTGTTTTCCACTATACCTTCTTCCCTTATAGTATCTTATTTATAGATTCACAGATGGTTCCTTTTAATACTCACTGCCAGCACACCTACACTTTCTATTGTTCTGGGTAGTGAGGAAGCTCCCTGCTGGCTTTGTCTATGAACTGAAGATGTGTTTGCAGACTTGTATAAGAGGGGAGCCAGGGGAGCACCAGGAAGGAGTAGAAATTTTCTCTAGCTCGCAGTGCAGTTTAATGTGATTAGTGCAGAATTCAGTGAGGGAGAGTTCTTTTAGATTTTAGTTCTTCTCAACTAATTTTATTGGCTACCTCCAATTTAATGTCATGCCTTCATGTTGCCTTAACACAGCTTTAACAAAATGATGGGGGTGATGAGGAGCAAATCTATAACCTAACCAGTCTCCTTTCCAGCCTGGCTTGCACAGGATCTAAATGGCATGACCGCGTGTTCCTGCTCTGCTTCTTCAGTGCTGCCACGTGGCTCTGGGGAAGCTCCCACTGCCAGCACGCTGAGCTGTCCTGTTGCTCTTGATAAATGAGGAGGCTACCCACTGGCTCTGGCTCTAATTTGAAGATGCAGAAGCAGGAGACTTTCATGGTGTCTTCCCTCTACCATTACCTTCACTGTATGTGGCAACTCTTCCTCCTTTACTGGGGCATTTGTGAATTTGTTTTCTATTCTCCTAGCTGTTTTGTAAAAATAATTTCCAAGAAGACAATGGGGAAAAGCTGTGTTTACTACTTTAAAACTGGAGGTCTTATACCAAAACCAGGCAAAGACACTAACAAAAAAGAGAATTACAGGCCAATATCACTGATGAACATAGATGTAAAAATCCTCACCAAAATATTAGCAAATAGAATCCAACAACACATAAAAAAGATTATACATCATGACCAAGTGAGGTTCATCCCAGGGACTCAAGGGTGGTTCAACACACGCAAATCAATCAATGTAATACATCACATCACCAAGAGAAAGGACAAAACCACATGACCATCTCAATAGATGCAGAAAAAGCATTTGATAAAATTCAACACCCATTTATGATAAAAACTCTCGCCAAAGTGGGTATAGAGGGAACATATCTCAACATCATAAAAGCTATATATGACAAACCTACAGCCAGCATAGTTCTCAATGGTGAAAAACCCAATAGCTTCCCACTAAAATCTGGGACAAGACAAGGATGCCCACTATCACCACTCCTATTCAACATACGTCTTGAAAGTCCTAGCCACAGCTATCAGACAAGAGAGAGAAATAAAAGGGATCCAAATTGGAAAAGAAGAGGTAAAAGTGTCACTATATGCAGATGACATGATACTATATATAGAAAACCCTAAAAGGTCCACACAAAAGCTACTAGAGCTGATTGCAGAATTCAGCAAGGTAACAGGTTACAAGATTAACATTCAAAAATCAGTTGCACTTCTTTACACTAACGATGAATCAAAAGAAAAGAAAGTAAAGAAACAATCCCCTTTAAAATAGCACCCAAAGTAATAAAATACCTGGGAATAAATCTAACCAAGGAGGTGAAAGAATTATACACAGAAAACTATAAACCACTGATGAAGGAAATTAAAGAAGACTTTAAAAAATGGAAAGATATCCCATGCTCTTGGATTGGAAGAATCAATATTGTTAAAATGGTCACACTACCCAAGGCAATCTACAGATTCAATGTAACCCCTATCAAATTACCCAGGACATATTTCACAGAACTAGAACAAATCATAATAAAATTTATATGGAACCACCAATGACCTAGAATTGCCAAAGCATTACTGAAGAGAAAGAAAGAGGCTGGAGGAATAACTCTTCCAGACTTCAGACAATACTATGGAGCTACAGTCATCAAGACAGCACGGTATTGGTACAAAAACAGACATATAGACCAATGGAACAGAATAGA